GTTCCGCTCCCGTCCCCGGTTCCCCGCCGCTCCCGGTTCCCCGCCGTTCCCGTTCCCCGCCGCTCCCGGCTCTCCGCCGCTCCCGGTTCCCCACTGTTCCCGTTCCCGGTTCCCCGCCGCTCCCGCTCCCGTTCCCCGCCGTTCTCGGTTCCCCGCCGTTCTCGGTTCCCCGCCGCTCCCGCTCCCGGTTCCCCGCCGCTCCCGGTTCCCCGCCGCTCTCGCTCCCGTTCCCCGCCGTTCCCCAGTTCCCCGCCGTTCCCCGGTTCCCCGCCGTTCCCCGGTTCCCCGCCGTTCCCGGTTCCCCGCTGTTCCCGTTCCCGTTCCCCGCCGTTCCCGGTTCCCCGCCGCTCCCGTTCCCCGCCGCTCCCGTTCCCCGCCGTTCCCGCTCCCGTTCCCCGCCGCGGTGCGCAGCAGCCCCGCTCCGGCCGCTCTCTGTCCGCAGCGAGCATCGTGCCCTGTCTCGGAGGCGCTGGCAGGAAAGGCGATCAGGGACAGTTCAGCAGCGAGTTCAGCGCTGGAGCAGCTCCGGCCGGGCCGGGTCAGGGCAGGGGCCGGGAGCTCGGACCCAGAGCTCGGTCCCGGAGCTGCCCCGGACCGGACCGGGCCGGGCCTCTCGGGCCAGCAGCGGGCCGGGCCGCCCGGCGCTGTCCCCGGCTGCCCCGGCTGTCCCCTCCCCGAAGGGAGAGGCTGTGCCCTGACACGGCCGGGCCTCGGGCGCTGTCCGTGCTCCCGGCCCCGGCCCCGGCCCCTGCCGCCGGAGGAGCGGCAGCAGCGCCTTCCCCATCCCCGGCCCGGCTCTGCTTTACCTCCTTACCTGCTGGCTGATTCCCTCCGTGCCTCCTGCTCGGCGTCCCACGGGCGCTCTGCTGCTCAGCCTGGGGGTGGCGTGGCCCCAGACTCTCCTGGGGACAGACACGAGTGTCCAGCCCGTTTCTCGGTCTGTGTTAACTGGGCCGTGTTGTGTTTTTCTCCCCCGCACCGGGTCCTTGATCCTGCGACTGTCCCTGGGCTGTAACAGGACCAGGATGGGGCTGTTCTTCTGCCGCTCCTTGGGAAAGCTGTAAGCTTTCAGGGGTGCTGAACTAAGGGACGCCACAGTTGTGTTTGCAAGCTGTTTGTGCAAATGCAGGGTGTTTAAATAAAAGGTTGGATTTTGAAAAATCTGCATTTTTCTTTCAACGTTTTTTCTTAAACTCATAAATCTTGTTTTCCTGTTTGGTCCTGGTCGGTTTGTCTATGTGGACTTTGAAATGTTTTGAACTCATAATGTGAACAGAACATGCAGATTATCATCTTTTTGTTTGTCATTTAAGAGTGTAAAGTGACTACAAACCACCACATTAATAGTACCCAGCTGATGGGGGGGGGTTTTGCTAGTATCATCTGTGTAGTTCAAAAGAGCATAGCAGCAGCAGTGCTTACAAGTCTGTTTGAAAATAAAAAAAAAATTTAATCCAGTGGATCTTTTAATATAAATGTCTAAAGGGTGCCAGCAAATTTGCAAAGACAATATAAGAGATCAAAAATATTGATAAAAAATTCACGATCTAAAATTCTGTTGAAACAACTGTGATGGTCAGCCATGTTGGCAGACTCAAAAGAAGTTTTTGAGTAAGCCTGTTGCTGCTCAAACAGAATGTGATCAAAGGTTTTGCTTTGCACTAAATAAGTAGAAAACCAATTATATTGAAGGCAGGGAAAAATAGCCTGTGTTTCATATTTTTCTTTGTGTGTCTCAATGGTTAAGATGAAGAGGCTCTGGCTCTTGCCTGGGATGCACCCTGGAGTCTGTGGCTGCAGCAGGGCCACTGTGGTGCTGAGGGATGCCAGGAGACTTCTGGAACTCAGGGTTCCAGTGATCCCTCACCCCTCTGGGGCTCTTGGGGCTGTTCCAGTCAGGCATGTAAAAATCGGGCTGGTTGTACCTTGTGTTCAGCGGTGTGCAGAGTCCAAGTGGCCAGTTGTCCTCTGATTCATTTTGGAACCCAGCTTTCACAAAGCGAGTCAAGATTTTTTTCCTTTTAGCTTAAAAAATGAGGCTATTCTTTGCTAAAAATAAACTTCACAAAATAGAACCTGCTTTCTATAATTCATTGGCTTTCTTCCATTTCCCTATGTATAAAGCTGAAAAGGAATTTTCCAAGCTGTTAATTTAGTTTCATTTAGTTCTCTTCCCTTTTTCCTTTTGAATGAAAGGCTCCTTACCCTGTCTAAATATATGTTCTCTTTCTCCTTTTTTGAAAAGACTCCTTCCCCATCTGAGCATATTATTGCAATAGGATTAAAGCTTTCCTGTTGGCTGTTGAGTGTAAATTTGTAGGAAACACAAATACTGGGGAGAAGAGAGACTGCTTGTATGCTCAGTTTGAAAAGCCGCTTGTTTTCGGGCTATTACCAGCTCATGTGGTGTTCATGTGTTCACAAGCTGACTGGTTTTTCTTATAAACCTGACCATTACAGTGACCAGTGTGACAGAAATAGACTTCAAGTGGAAACTCGTCATGAAAAGAGATAGTTTGAGTGGGATTTGTAATTCCAGGAAAAGGTCAAAACTGCTTTTAATTGAGGGGAGCAGTGCATGTGGGATGCATGTTCTGGTTTTGCTGTCTGGAAGTTGTGCTTGTTTGAGAAGGGTTTCTATTTGTGGCTCAGTGGAGTCAAAATGCATGTCTGAAGGGCAGGATAAAACCAGAGCCGCGCTCCTCCTGGCACAGGGGCATTTGCTGAGCTCTGCCCGGAGAACAGCAGAGTTTGGTGTGTTTGAGGAGCAGCCTGTGGGCAAATAACCCTGAGGAACCCGTGCTGACCAGACCTGTGTTCCCAGGCAGGAGCGGGGACACAGGGCAGAGCACCCTGGAGCTGCAAGGGCAAGGGAGGATGGAGGGAGAGAGCCCTGGGGATAGAGGAGAGTCCTGGGGATGGAGGAGAGGAGAGCCCTGGGGATGGAGGGGATGAAGAGCCCTGGGGATGGAGGGGAGGAGAGGAGAGAGCCCTGGCGAGGGAGGAGAGGAGAGCCCTGGGGATGGAGGAGAGGAGAGCCCTGGGGATGGAGGGGAGGAGAGCCCTGGGGATGGAGGGGAGGAGAGAGAGGAGAGGAGAGCCCTGGGGATGGAGGGGAGGAGAGGAGAGCCCTGGGGATGGAGGGAAGGGAGAGCCCTGGGGATGGAGGAGGGGAGGGGAGGAGAGGAGAGCCCCGGGTGCTCAGGACAGACACCCGGAGCAGAGACCTGCAGCTCCTTTCAGTGGCAAGGGAGCTGGAGAGGGACTTTGGACAGGGGATGGAGGGACAGGGCACAGGGAATGCTTCCCACTGCCAGTAGCCAGACAGAACCTGACAAAGTGGGGTTTGGATTAGTAACTCAGGAGCAACTGGTTCATTGGTGAATGGGTATGAAAGGATTTAGCATCAAAGAGGAGAGGGAAAAGATTAATTTCCATTATGTTACAAAAAGAATGAGATAATTTAATGAAGGACAGAGCGCAGAGAGAAGGGATAGGAAGAAGTCCAAAGTCTGTGGAAGACATGAAATATAATGTGCCTATTTTTAGACAGAAAAATAAGAGGAAGATAAATTATCTTTCTACTTTATTGTTATCTCCAGTCCTTCAAAAGTTCAAATGGTTTCATTTATGTGAGGTGGCTGGAGAGGAGTCTGAAGTAAGGGCTAGGTTACAGAATTGTACCACAGAGTGGTGAAAGTGGAAAGAAAAGATGTGGTGGTGCCAGAGCAGGGACTGCTGGAGGAGGGCACAGCAGTGGGAGCCGGCAGGGCCCTTCCTGTGCGGCCCAAGCTGTGGATGCATGGCCAGGGCAAGCCAGAGACAGGGCTGGCATGGGCTGGGCACGGGAGTGCAGGGTTAGCAGGAGCCACAGACAGGGCTGGCACGGGAGTGCAGGGTTAGCAGCAGCCAGAGACAGGGCTGGGCACGGGAGTGCAGGGTTAGCAGCAGCCAGAGACAGGGCTGGCATGGGAGTGCAGGGTTAGCAGCAGCCACAGACAGGGCTGGCACGGGCTGGGCACGGGAGTCCATGCTGGCAGCCCGAGACCTCCTCAGCACCCTCTTTGTTGGAACTGGTTACTGGAGCTCAAGGGGCACCTTCCAGTGCTGCTCGTCCTCTCCAGTTCTTGTTTCGCTGCTGTACGCAGCTGTTTGAAAATAGCACACTTGATGGGAGAACAGAGTAGAACAGAAGCTTGGTGCCTGTGTGTTTGCCTCTGGGCAGTTGGTGTCAGAGCTGTTTGACAGGGATGAGCTGTCTCTGTTTCCAGTTTGATAAGTTCTGCTGCCTCCCACCGATTCCGGACATTCCTGCCACTGCTGTGACAAGGAAGTCTGATTTGTATTGTTATTCCCCGCTAGGATGCAAAAATTATCCAGCAGTCTTGTTGTTGAAGATAAACTTCAACAAATCAGTTCTCTCCCTCTGAGATCCCTTCTCCGCCCTCTGAGGCTGGGGTCTGGGATCTGTAAGAAGACAGAACTTAGCACTTAACTGCAGTTTTGCTGCTTCCGTTTTCATCATTTCGGGAGCAATCTGAAAGCGCTTCTCTCAGTTTGTACTTGGCAGGAGGCCTGATGGGATGGAGCGTCCCCAAAAGCACTGTCATTGTCTGACCCACGTTGTGTGGAGTAACTCTGGGTCCCTGGGAGCTCAGTGCAGCACCTGGGTGTGGGCAGGCTGGTGAGGTTCTGATCCCAGGGGATCCACGTGCCCCTCTGCCAGGACACAGTTCAGCTGTGCCACTGCCTGATGGACGTGTGGCTGCCAGTGCTGTGCAGCCGTACACAAAATGCACCTTTTTGCTGAGAACCAGAGGGCAATGAAAGAGTGAGCCTGTCCAGTGGCATCGTGGAGGAACATCCTCATGTTTGTATTTTTGCTTTAATTGTGAAAAAAGCTCCCTTCTTGAATGCACTAGGAAAGCAATAATATCACAATATTGTTGTAAAAATAGATTTCTCTTACTTATAATTAATTTTTGCCTTTTGTTTTTCAGCCAGAAAATTTACAGAAGAATTGGCTTCGGGAATTTTATCAGGTAAGGTAAAGTTTATTTTCTCATGGAGTTTTCTGCATCTTTGTTTATTACTAATTAGTAACGTCAGGATCTTTTGCTTTGTGAAGGGAAATTACTATTTGATAGTGATTTTATTTTATAGTAAAAGACAGCCCTGAAAATATGTCTCTTCCTGGATTTCTAAGCAATCATTATAAAAATTCAGCATATAAGCAGAATTCGTTCTCATCAACAATTCTCTGCATAAAAAATAGATTCAAGTTTTATAAAATTGACTTCAGTTTGGCATGAAATGGTCTTTTAAGTCTACTGAATAAGATATATCTTAGAGTACTTAAAAAAAAATCTGTTGGCAAGTCCAGTCTGCCTTAAAATTGAAATATGACAATTTTGGGCATTGGTTTGGAGTAGATGAGTCCTGTCTTCTCTTTCTTAACAATTTTCTTGTTTGGTAATATGGAGATATTGACACTGAGCCCATATTATAAAATGTGCTGTAACCTTCGGGTGTGATGGGGTTTTTAAAGTATAAAAGTCCATCTCACACGCTGATATTGTAGTAGAGACTTAACTTGCAGTCTTTGTGCAAAATGTGTCAATAAGCAGCAGGAAATGAGCACTGCTGGGGCATGGAGGTGCCATCCCTGGGAAGAGCTGAGAGCTGCTGTCGCTGCTGACAGAGCCGAGGCGCTGGAGCCCCACAGTGGTTTTTGCATTGGAAGGGCCTCAAGGGAGCTGACAGAGCATCTGGATGCACCCTGCCAGGGCAGGGACACTTTCTGCTAAGGCACTCTGTTCGAAGCCCTGTGACTTGGCCATGGAAAAGTGCCACCTGGTACTGAAGGGATTCCTTTATCCAGTCCTACAGCTCTTACAGAAAAATAGTTAAACAACAGAATTGTGCTGTTCAAATTGTGAAGTGTGCAGAAAATATCATCAGCAGTATTTCATCTTTTCCTTTTGTAATTGAAAGCATCCCACGAGTCTTTACATTCCCCGGCTGCCAGTGCAGCCTGTGACCTTTATTACATTGATGTAAAATCCTGCAATTCACTTTTACTGGCAAATGTAAGAGATTTGCAAAAATCCAAGGTGCAGTAACCACTCTTACATTCTTTAGTATCTGCCAACTTCAGATTCATCTTTTTATTTTGTTTCTTCAACCTTGGTTGATCATTGCTGTGTGTCCATGGTGCTTGCACTAAGCAAGTGTCTCAGCTGGTTCTGATTCCAGCCCTCTACAGCTTCAGGAAAAACTCTTGCTATGCAGGAAATACAAATAAACAGGGACAACTCTTTATTTTTGGTTGGGTTTTTTTTTAGATGGCTGCATACTTTTCATCCCCACATGACTGATTTATGTATCTTTATCAAGGAAACTCCTTCTATGTTCATTTGTTTCTGAAGTGGGATGAGCACTGCAGAAACGCTTCTGAATAGTTTGTGGAAAACAGGAAGAGGTGGGGAAAAGACCGAGCTGCTGCTATCTTAGGGCAGGGACCGCTGACACGTGACTGAACGTGGTCTGTCTTTGGCCCAGTAAATATTGTGTGTATGGAATTCCAAAGAGGAATAAAATTAATGCTGCATAATGCCAGTCTACTGCAGGGTCCAGACCAGGAAAAGCGTTGCTGAGGCAGACCCAGGCCCATCCCTCTGCCGGGCGGTTCTGCTCTGTTCCCTCTCCATACCTCTGCCCTCTGGCCCTGCAGTCTGAGAACTGTATTTTGAAAAAGGAAAAGAAAGGAAAAATAGACGCAGGACGAAGTTAGCAGTGCTGCTGTGGCTGCTGCTGCCTTGTCCTGCTTCCCCTCTGGGTTCGGCAGCGGGCTGGCTGCTCACGCCACGCTCCCCAGCACAGCGGGAAGTGGAACCAAACCGGACAGAAAGCTCCTCAGGGAAGAGCAAACATGAACACACCAAAAGTCACTTAGCACCCTTCTGGCTCTGGCTTCAGAGCGACCCAGCAAACGTGTAGCCTCAGAGGGATTATTGTGTTTAATTCCTCACGCTCTGTGTGCAACCTCTGTGACCTGAGGTCCAGAGCAGCGCTGCAAAATGACTCTCCGTGCCTCGTGGTAAGCTTGAAACCAGATAAACCACAGACGGCAGTTTTTTCCATTCTTCTGAGGAATTCAATTTGCATATGCAGTTGTGTCAGGGTGGTTTGCATAACTTCTGAAGATGAGGTCCTTGTGTAAGTAGTCAAAATGTTCTCCACAGAAAAGGAAGAACCATTACCTCTCTAAGTTTAAAATGTTTCTAGAAATTAAACCCGTAATGTCGTTGAACTGATGTCAAAGAGCATATTGGATAAAGAGCATTTTGTGGACTTGTTTCTAAATTCCAGTAAATTAAAATGAGGGATTTTATTTGCTGTCATGGGTGACTACAAGTCATTTATGTGTTACCATTGGCTTACATGCCATATGCATTTCCAAGGACATGGTAGCATACAGAGGGCTAAAATAAGATTCAAATGTCACATGTTCAATTTTTGAAACTTCTGCCATTGACCTACAAATATCCTATCCTACATCATTAACATGGAAATTGTGGCAGATCTAATGCTGGTAAATGAAATGGTTTCTCCAAGAAACGCAAACAGTAAAAAAGACTCTTGAAAGACCCTTTCCAGGCTGGTTTTAGCAGCAGCTCCTGGCAGAGAGCAGCAGGTTGGCCTCGTGCTGTGTGACAGTGGGCTCGGGGTGACAGCAGCAGGGTGCCCGTGTGCTCTGGCATGGCACAGCCCAGGGTGTGCTCTGCTTGGCTTCTTGGCTGGACACACGTGTGCAGGTTTTGTCGAGGTCAGCGGGACGGTCAGCGGTGTCACGGCAGTGTCACGCAGCAGTGTCACGGCAATGTCACAGCAGTGTCACGGCAGTGTCACGCAGCAGTGTCACAGCGGTGTCACAGCAGTGTCACGGCAATGTCACAGCAGTGTCATGGCAGTGTCACACAGCGGTGTCACGGCAGTGTCACGGCGATGTCATGGCAGTGTCACGGCAGTGTCACGCAGCAGTGTCACAGAGTGTTGCAGCCGTGTCACAGCTGTGTCCCACAGTGGCTCTGGGATTGTCCCGGGCCTCGCTGAGGGGATGCTCCGGGCCGGAGCGCGCAGCAGCACCAGCCTGCGGGTAGGAAACGCGTCCAGCTCCCTGGTACAGCCGTCTGACCTGGCCTGGGTGCTGCGGGACTGTGCCATCGTGTGCCCTGGGTCACTCTCCGAGCCACAGGGGCCACTTCAGCAGCAAACCTATGTTCCTACCAGGAGCAGAAGCAAGCACTGTGGGGAAAGGATGCTGCGAATCCCAGGGCTTTCAGAGTTGGCTCTGGTTTCTAACGTTCAAGGCAGAAAGTTGTATTTGCAGATGAAGGCAATCCGCTGGAACCAGAACAAAAGAAAAAAGGCTTGTGAGCAAATGGGTCACACTGTGGCCCTGATAATTGGGAATTACATCAAAGGGTGGAAAAACCACCTTAGAGGGAGGCAGGAGCCAGTGAAGTCCTGGTGCTGGAGATTGTGCCCCATCTCCTACCTGTAGATAGCTACTGGTAACTTGGGTCTGAAAGAGCTGAGTTTGGACTAGTCCTCTTTCCAGTAAAAATTCTCTTACCCCAAAACCTACACTGGAAACAAGGAGGGAAAGGGATTGTTGGGGGAGAGTGGAAACAGCCTGAGAGCAGCATTTTGGAGTGTTTAACTTGTGATAGGGAAGACTTTGGTTCTTATCAAGAAATGGGATGACTGATGATTTAGACAGTAGTGCTGAACAAGCAGTGGGATGGTTGGTGAGCTCGCTGCCATGCAGATAAGAATAGGCACGTGGCAGTTTTGTCCCACTTGTGCAAAGTGCCCATGCCCTGGTTGGCAGCCTCCACGTCAGTCAGTGCACTGGAGAAATATGGGGGAACAAGCTCCAAGAACATAAAGGAAGCTGTTTGCAAGCAAAGGGTGTAGGAGCAGAGGGAGAACTTTTATTGACTTATTTATTTACTTAGGACTCCTTTTCCTTTTCACTCCCTCCTTCCCCATCCCTTGCCCTTTCCCCATCTGCACTGGGCCTCATATTTGGGGCAGGAGGAGTTCAGGAGCTGGAGCTGCTGAAAATCTGCACTGATTTCAGTAACTATCTTTTTCTGTCGCATTCGTGGCACATGGTCATTTTAGATGCAAACTTGGACCCAGAGGGTTTTTTCCCCTAATGCCATTTTCCATGTTGCCTGATGTGTTTGAGAGTATTTTTAGCTTTTATTTGTAGGAATACAGAAGTTAAAAGTTTACCTAATAGCTAAAGGTCATCTTGGTATAGCTGTGTGGGAACTTTGTGCGTTACCCTTCAGAGAGAAGGAAAAAAAACAAACAAAAAAGGCCCAAACCAACCAAATAAAAAAATTGCGAACCCCAAATCACAACAAAACCCCACCCAGCCACTCAAAGGTTGTTTAATTATTTTGGTTGACCTAATGCTACTTTTTTAACTAGAGAGGATGAAAAAACTCTGTTGCAGCTCTTCCAAGCTGAAGTCTCAGCCCTTTTCCAGAGGGTGTTTTCCTCAGGCGGGGCTGTTTGGGCTGTTGGCTGTTGGTTTGACCCCATGGCCTGTGACAAGGGTAGGGGGATGCGGGCCTGGGTGCTGGCTGTGTGCAGCTGAGTGCTGCAGGGCTCTGGGTGCTGTCCCCAGGAGGAGCCTCTTCTTCAGGCTTAGAGAAACTGAAAATACTCTGTCAGTACAGTTGAGGTCTAACCCTGGTGCCTGTGTCCCCATGCCCCTGCTGCCCTCTCCGAGAGCTGGCCAGCGCCGTGGGGCTGTGTCCTGTGCTGGCTGCTGCCCCAGCTCCAGCACAGCCTGCCCCACCCTGCCCACGCCCTGCCCAGGCAGGAAAACACCTGTGGAACCAGGAGATGTCAGTCGGGCTTGTAGGTTCACACTCAGCTGTGCTGGAGCATCTGGCTTAGTTACATACACCCCCAAAAGAAACTCCTGATTGTGGCTTCCTTTACGCTACTTTTGCATATCCCAAATTGAAAATAATGCCCAACTTTGTAAATACGCTGTGCTGCTGTGGATGCAAATTCATTATTTATGTGGTCTCATGTATGGTCTTTAACTTCTGGCAACTGGGAGTTTTTAGCTCTGAAGTATTCATTACTCATTATTATGTACTGTTTGTTCTTCCATAAGAGTAGAAAACTAGTAAAAGGTAATGAAGCAGAGCCAATTTGCTTTTAGGTGGAGTGTACTTATTATATGAGAGGACATAACTAATATTCAGGTATGTTCTAGTGGTTTAACCTGCAAGGAATGCCACAAGGACCTCACTGCTATTAAGCCAATGCTGTTTCCCCATCAAAAAAAAGATTTTTTTTTTTTTTAATACCCACTATGATTTCAAGTTCTCAAAGATTTGTATACAAACGAAAAAACAACTGTGTCTTGCATCTTCAGAGCCTGGAAGTGTTTTCTGTTGCTGCTTCAGCACAGTAGAGTTGTTCTCCAGTGTTGTCTCACTGCAGGACTCCCAATTCAGGGCTCCTTGTGACTGATGGTTCCTAAATCTTACTTAAAATAGTTTATTATGGTTGTCTTGCCAGTCAGTATTTTCATGGGCTGTGTAAGAAGAGCTCTTACTGGAGCAAACTCTCAGCAGTTAAAATGAGTGACACAGTGCTCAGCACGTTCCTGTGTGTGCTGTCCTGAGACAGTGACAGGGATGTGTTTGCTTTACAGGATTAAATAGTTACACTGCTTTCTGATCCTGGTGTCTTCATAGAGCTCTCCAAGCAGATGAAATCAGGACTTGGAATCCAGAACTGACTGGGAGCAGTGAAGCGCACGGAGAGTTGGGATGGCCTGGTGTTAGGGTCCACAGATGAGCTCTGTTGCAGAGCTCTGCCTCACGGGCTGTGTTTGGTTAGTGTTGCTCTCCAGACAGCCAACAAAATGAACCACTGAGGTGAATTTAGTGTTCATTGTCATTTGCTGCTGCTGGCTCTGATGGCAGCCTGCTGCCAGTGGTCCCTTGGGCAGGGCCTTGGGGAGAAAGGAACATCTGTACAGGGACATCTTCTCAGCAACTGTGTCTTCGTTGTTTGTAAATCTGTGATAGGAAATATATATCAGAGGAAAAGCATGTCCCAGCTGGGTGTAATTCCTTGCATTTCAGATAAGGTTTTTGACATCTGGTCTGTCATCTGCTTTTTTATCTTTCCCCTCCTTCCCCCCAGTTAAACTTACTGTTGGGTCTTACTCTGGCTCATTCTCTGTCCCTACTGATGATGGCATGCTTTAGAGCAAGGTGCTGATATCTCTGTTGGCAGAAACCAGCATTAATGATGTAATGGAAGTGCTCAGTAGTCATCAAACACCTGAGTGGGAGTATTTCGTTTTTCCTTTTATCCACTACCAGCAGCAGCTCGCCTCAGAATGTTTCACCAAGCAGGTCAGTGCCAAGATGTTTCAGTGGCCGGGAAGCTGAGGCACAGAGGCTGTTGGAAATGCCTCAGAAACCCGGGGCAGGACGTTCCGGGGCAGCGCTGTGCCTCACTCACAGTGTGAGCTGGATGTGGCAGCACACCGGGTTCTGCTCGGCTTTGGCGTGCACGAGCGGCTGCCAGGCCTCCCCTCCTGGCCCGGCTGGAGCCCCACCGCCCTGTCCCGCTGGTCCTGAGCCCCCTGCCAGAGGGCACTGGGGGAGAGCAGCCTGCCAGGAGCGTGCCTGAGGAGGGAGGGACGTGCTGCCAGCGGTGCTGAGCCTCTCTGGCACTGCCCTCGGGCAGGGTCTGGCACCCGCAGGTGCCCCGTGCCCTCCCTGCTGCTGTCCCGAGCTGGGCAGCTCTGCCGCTGCCACAGGCAGGTGCCAGCTCAAAGCAGGGACCTGTGACTGCTCTGGCTCAATGGAACCTGCTGCGCTTCAGATTCTGCTTAATTCATGGTCTTTGAACTTAATTGTCTAATGAGGTTATTTGTGTAGTCAGGAATGAGGGGTTTTGCACTCTGTCATCACGTCAAATGGCAGTTTCTCTCTATTGTCATCTAAAAGAAACATGCACAACTTCTGTGGTGCCCCATCCCTGGAAGTGTTCGCGGCCAGCTTGGACAGGGCTCGGAGCAGCCTGCTCCAGTGGCAGGTTTCCCTGCCAACGGGGTGCAAGGAGATAAGCTTTAAGGCCCCTTTCAGCTCAAACCATTCTGTGGTTCCACGATTCCTAAAGACCTTTTAACAGTGGTATTGGCCACTGTTGATTTAAATAATTAAAAGCAGCACTGCAATAGGGTGTCTGTGCCTTTTGGGAGTTGCAGGGCTCCAGCAGCAGGACAGTGAGCAGGAGCGGGGAGCAGTCCCTTTTTTCCAGCTGTTCCTCGCTGTGTCTGTTGAGATGAGAGCTCTGCAGGGTGACTCGAGGGCAGAGCACCCCAGCCCTGCCCAGGGGCTGCCGGCAGCCCCCCACTCCTCCTGCCAAGGCTGCATGGACAGCGTGGCCTCTGCTGGCTGGGGCCGCCCAGTGCCACCCTTGAGAAACGAGTGAATCCCACCTGGGAGTTGAATTCTCTCCATGTATGCTCGCACTGGCACGGGGTTGATTGTTTCAGACTGTTCCCTTTTGAAATGGAAGTTGTTCTGGAGCTTGTGTCCACCCATTCACAATAAGGCATGGAACACAAGGTATGGAGACTCAGTATTAGCAGAGACATTTTAGATGTGGTGTTTGCAGTTCTGAATAGAGGCAAAGCAGAGAAAATTCCATAGAACAGAGAAACACTGAATGTGTCTTCAAAACAGCAGCAAATTTATAAACACTATTTGATTTGAGGTATGCGTAAAGACAGACATTCAAGGGTTTTGGTATGGTAGTTGCATCCTCGTGCTGAGTGTGTAGTATCTAAGATATTTGCAGTTTTCAAGACTAACACCTGGAATAGCATGATGGATTTCCATGTCTTCAGTGTTAACAGGTGTGTACAGGCATCTGTTATTTAAATACTTTTGTAAATAAGATATTCCATAAATAAAACTATCAAACACAACTGCTAAAGTGCTGCTAAACAGCACTGAGAAATTTTATAAAAGTCAAAAAAAAATCCACTTTAGCAAATTAATTGTTTGAATTCTTCTACCTCCCAGACAAGGAAAGGTCTGGGTTATCTTAATCATGTCATCTTTGAGGGGAAAAGTTTATTTACATTTTAAATATAAATACTAAAATATATTAAAAATATATATACAGCCCAGGAACTAAGCCATAGTTTAAAAAAGGAAATATTAGTTAAGAATATTTGAGATAATAATTATGTATTATGAGTCTTTTATGTTGATAGCAAATGATGCTCCCCTTGCTGCTTATTGTGCAGTGACCTCTCAGGTAATAGCTACCAGCCCTCCCTGAGCACACAGATCTGTGTTCTTGCTGTGTGCAGAGCGTTAAACCTCGCTTTTCTCTCTCTTCCAGGTGGTCCATGCACACAAGCCCCATTTCATGGCTTTACACTGTCAGGAATTCGGAGGGAAAAACTATGAAGCTTCAATGTCTCATGTGGACAAGTTCGTGAAGTAAGTGGTGGGGGCATATCCTGGGCCTGAGCCAGGGGCAAGGGCAGGAGCGCTCAGTCAGCGCTGGAAGGTGCTGGGATTACTTATCCCGGTGTAATGTATCCCAGTTTAATGTATCCCGGTTTAATTTATTCCCAGTTCAATGTATCCTGGTTTTATTTATTCCCAGTTCAATGTATCCTGGTGTCATTTATTCCCAGTTCAATGTATCCTGGTGTCATTTATTCTCAGTTCAATGTATCCTGGTTTAATTTATCCCTGGTTTAATGTATCCTGGTTTAATTTATTCGCAGTTCAGTTTATCCCTGGTGTAATGCATCCCAGTTTAATGTATCCCGGTTCAATTTATCCCGGGTGTAATTTATCCCCAGTTTAATGTATCCTGATGTAATGTACCCCAGTTTAATGTACCCCGATTTAATGAATCCCCGTTTAATTTATCCCTGGTGTAATCTATCCCAGTTTAATGTATCCCGGTTCAATTTATCCCAGGTGTAATTTATCCCCAGTTTAATGTATCCTGATGTAATGTACCCCAGTTTAATGTACCCCGATTTAATGAATCCCCATTTAATTTATCCCTGGTGTAATGTATCCCGGTTTAATTTATCCCAGGTGGAATCTATCCCGGTGTAATCTATCCCGGATTAATTTATCCCAGGTGGAATCTATCCGGGTTTAATTTATCCCCGGTGTAATCTATCCCGGATTAATTTATCCCAGGTGGAATCTATCCGGGTTTAATTTATCCCCGGTGTAATCTATCCGGGTTTAATTTATCCCCGGTGTAATCTATCCCGGTTTAATTAATCCCCGGTATAATCTATCCCGGTGTAATCTATCCCAGGTGTAATCTATCCCGGTTTAATCTATCCCGGTTTAATCGATCGGGCTGGGAGGGAACGCGGGCAGTGCCCGCGAGCCGCGGCCGCGCGCGCCCTCTGCTGGCGGCGGCGGGCGCTGCGCTCGGGGCCGCGCTCGGGGCCGCGCTCGGGGCTGAGGCTCCGGCAGCACAAATTCCCAAATTCCCGGAGGAATGTTGTGGGCACCACAGACCCGCACCCTTCCCAGTCGCGTCCAAAGGCGCTGGGAAACTCGCGGTGCAGCTGGTGAGGGCAGCTCTGGAGCGTGCAGGCAGGTGTCTGTGTCAGGGACCGCTCTGTCCCTGAAATTCCCCCCAGAGGAAGAGGAGGGCCCTGGGTTCCTCTGGGTGATGCTGGGGATGTCACAGCACAGAGCAAAGCTGAGGCATGGCAGCACATTTGTATCTTCCTGTACAACGTTCAGTCTTGTCTTTCTCTTGCAGAGAACTGTTATCAAGTGATGCAATGAAAGACTACAACAGAGCTCGAGTTTACCTGGATGAGAACTATAAATCACAGGAACATTTCACGGTAAATTTCTTTATTTCATGAGTGTCCTTTAACTGAAGGTGAATTTCTTCTGTTTGGGATTTTTGACCCATGTGGGACTGTGCGCTATTTCCATCCTGATGATGATTCTGTTTTTACTACTACTGTGTTTTACTATTAAGAGTGTTTATTCTGTGGCACAGGTACCTGCTGATTTCACAGAGGTGCATCCATTTAGAATGAGCAAAATATCAGTGTGCAGGGAATCTTTTGTTTCAAATGATTGTATAAGGTCTTTTTTTGTCCAGCACAGACTTTGTTAGCTCAGAATCACCTTCCATTTCAGAGCCTGGCAGTGTCTGGCAGTGTGAGGTGGTGCCAGCACTGAGTGTGATGAGCTGGTGACGGGCTTGGCAAGGGTTCAGGGCCTGTGTAAGGGATCTCCAGAGCTGGCTCACAGCCTCACTGGCCTGAGGCATGGTGGCAGCAGCCAGAGCACAGGTTTGCATTAGCACATGAGTGGTGTTCAGGTGCATGTGAATGATGCAGGGCTGCCCTTCCTCAGAGCAGAAAGGCTTGTGTGCTGCTGTGCATCGTGCCAACACATCTGCTGTGTGTCCAGGTGATCACTGCTAGGCTGTACAGGAGAAAACAGCCCTTTGGAGGTGAATCAGTGACAGCACCCTTCTTCCCAGGGCAGAGATTCCTTCTCCCCTACTATGCTGCTCAGGGGCAGTGGTGGCTCGGAGGAGCCCGGCTGGGGACCTGGGGCAGCCACAGATGGCACCTGGGACAGTTCAGACAATAAAAAAAAACAGGTGCCCAGCACACACACAAACCCCAGCTTGGATGCATATAAGCTCAGGGAATAAGAACCTGGAAGGGTTTTTATTTCTTCCTTTTTTTTAATAACTCTGGCTAGAAGCCCAACTAAGATGAAACTGGAGGAGAGGAATCAGTGTTTTTTTTTTCTCTTACTCATCGGAGAAGATAAAAAGACTAACAGCTTTCCTGAGCCTTAGAGGGACAAACCATTCGTGGGTCACTAATGTTGAAACTGTACTCTGCAGATGTTCAGAAAGTGCTGGTAGTACAGTAGTACAGAGCTGCATGTTTTGGAGTCACTCACAGGTCTGAGCTGCATCCAGATGATCCCACACACTGGTGGAGACCCTGTCGGGGTCCTGCAGCACAGATCTCCTGATGTGGGCAGGGGAGCTGCAAGGGGCTCTGCATTTACCTGATCTGCCTTCAGCCAGTGAGCTCCAGAGCTCCCTTCCAGCCAAGACTTTTCTGTGATACAGGAAAAAGGAGTAATCATCTGTGATCTTAATTAGGGAAACAGCATAGAAGACTAATCCATGACAAAATACAGTCCAATAACAAGATACAACTTTTTTGTGATTAAGAATAGTCACATCCTTCATAGTGTTGAATTATTTTATTTAGCATGAGGTACCTTGATTTAATTTGATGGCATTCCTGTGGTGGATAAAAAGGCTCTTAGAGAGGTTGAACAGGAATCCCAGTCAGAACATGTGCTGTTTGTGTCTCTGTGAAGAACCCTGTATTTTGCAATGTCCTCAGTTCAAGAACTAATGTGGTTTCTTGTTTCACATACCAGCATTATTTTCTAGGCACTGTGTTTCTTGTAGTATTCCCCAGCCATCTTTGTATTTCCCCTTTTCTTGTCATAAATATTACTTTGCAGGTTTTTTCCTTCTAATCCTTCGTTTACTAAAACTGGGCCTTCCAGGGGGCAAAAAAAAGTTCTGTCAACATATTGGTTCAATAAAGGGGAAGATTATAAAAAAGACAGCTAGTACCAATGTTATTTTCCATGGAAATAGTGTAACCAAAAACATGTTCTTATTGTTTGGTTAAATTGCCCTCTGTTGAAGTGGTGACTGTAAAGATACACAATGGGTTTACAGAAGTGTTTGATGTGTACTCCACATGATAGGCTGTTTGTATCTTTAAGAACCTTTTAGAGCTGAATCTGCTTAGTGTGAAAAGGCAGAACCCAAAGGAAGAGCAATTATTCAATGATGTTTTGTGTTACTATCACTGGGAGGAAACGCTGTGTGCTAGAGGAGTGTTTTATACCTTCATTGTTAGCCTGTAGTCGTGGCTTGGAACCAAAGCCCAAAAACCTGGACAGAAGAGAGAGTGCACTTTCACATGGAGTTCTTTAACCTTCTGGCTTGTTAGAGTCTGCTTTTAGGCACTGAGTGCTCCCAGTCTGCACTCACAGATCCTGGCACTGCTGTCAGGAATCAAAGATTCATAGAAATGGTTTTTTACACTTGTGATTTGAATGGCAGATCTCCAGCTCCTCTGCTCAGTGTGTGTGTGTATGTGTGACTGTGTGAGCAGGGGTTTCACGTGTGCTGTGTCCATTTAGGGTAAAGTTTTGGTCTTATCTGCAATGTGGTTTGCCTTGTACAATGTCACATGTCTCCGTGTTTCCTTGTTAGTTCTGTTTGACTGCAAAGTTCTGTAACTTCTGTGGGCTTTTTTCCATCCCTTCTAAGGCACAGACTTGGCAGCATATGGTAGCTTTGTCTTTATATTATTACCTCTCTGAAATATAAATGTTTATCATATATTGTTGTATAACACTATTTGCTTTAGAAAGGGAGAAGCTCAAGTAGTTACAGTTTGGCTAACCTTTATCCCTGCTGCTCTCACATCCCCTTTTTTACCAGTTTTGGCATCACTTCCTCTGTAAGGCTTTCCTTGGCTTGGCTCCTGCAAAACGGAACCAGATTTTGCTGCCCACAGTTACTCAGCTTGGCTGTGGTAGGACTGGCAGCAGGATCTGAGACAGCACTGTCAGCAGCCTCTGTCTCCAGCTCACAGCAGCACAGGTGCAAATTCCACACCAGAAATAAGAAACTGGCATAAAAATGAGGAGTCTCTAGTGGAGCCACTTCGTTTTAAAAACTAATGATCCACACTGTATAAAGGATCAAAATGGATCATTTTGCATCATCCCAGACAGAAATCATACTACCAGGATTTGTCATTTATGGTCATGTATACCAAATCTGGTGTAGGAGCACCTGGTTTTAGGTCTGGGGAGTGGGGTAGGTGCTGTGATGAGGGAGAGAGCTGTGGTTCAGTGGATTGTGTTTGTTCTCCTAGGAGGGATGGTAGGGTGAGACTGTGTGGGATTCCCTTCCACTCGAAACTGTGAAATGCATGGCACGGAATAAATGCCAGAGCAGAGTGCCAGACCAGGGAAGGTGCTGGGGCAGCAGGTCCCTGTCCCAGGGAAGGGGTCAGGCTGGCACTGCAGCTGGGGCAGCAGGTCACTGTCCCAGGGCAGGGGTCAGGCTGGCACTGCAGCTGGGGCAGCAGGTCCCTGTCCCAGGGAAGGGGTCAGCCCGAGGGTCAGGCTGGCACTGCAGCCTGGGCAGTGACTCCTGGCCCAAGGCTTTCTTAGGGCCAGGCTATGGGGGCAGCACGGGTGTCACAGGGTGCATGGGGATGAAGCAGTTCGTGTCACACCTGGGAGAGGCACAGCTCTCTCAGATTTAAAAATGATAAAACGACCTGAAGATGAATCTCTTGGCAGAGAGCTGCTGCATTAGAGCTGATGGCTGTCAGCGCTGGGAAGGGGGCAGTGCTGGAGCTCCGAGCTCCCAGCAGTTATGGATGAGGACGGTGGGTGACAGCCTCTGCAGGGCTGACAGTGGCTTCCCAGAAATTTCAGATTAACGAAACTGGCAGCTGTGCTGCTGTTTCAGTTCTGACTGGAAATACCAATAGCAGTCAAGTCTGGATAAACTGGCTCATGTGCTGAATTTCAGACACTCAAATACCGGTAAATCCCTGTTTGAAAGCATGGTACTTTCTTTTGTTGTATAAAATGTTATGTAGGGGGCAGATCTTGATTTCTGTTGAAGAATGTACAATTAATGAAAAGACAGATATAAGAAGACTGAAATAGGTAAAAATATGAGAGGCTGAAAAATTCAGAACATTGCATTTTTTATTTGTGACTATACTGAATGGACTTCACTTGTAATAAAACAGGTCTTTGCAGTTCCATTGATTTTACCAAACATCCCGTTATTTACATTCTCTGTTAATTTTATTGTACTTGGTATATTTCATGCAAGGGATAAATTATAAATCTTGTCACTTTTCTATGTGAAGAATTACTCAAAAATAGTTGGGTGTGTTAAACTTTGCATGTCAATACTTCTTGAATAACCCAAGTTAATGGTAAATAAAGTGTTTTTTTCTGAAATAAGAAAATGTACTGAAGGTAAATATCAGTCAGAAATACATTGATGTTTTCATCAAATCCATAACTGTTTTTATATGAAAACATGTCAGTATAATCAGTGACATTTTTACTGTAATAAGATCAAGTCTAGTTTTGTTTTGTGCCGTGTATTTATTGATTTCTGGAGTACTCAGTTAAGGTCTTACATAGCTTTGCAAATCCTTGGCTTCCTTTTCATTGTTCAGAGAAGGCAGAGGAAACTCCTGTGTAGCTTAAAGCCTTTTTGCTGCATTGAACCTGTGGTTTCTGTAGGCTGGGAGAGAATCTTTCCTGGAGTGCATCAGTCCCGAGGGCTCTTGGCAAACCAGACCTCCAAGGGCAAGCTGACCACCAGCTCCTGCCTGGAGTGTTCAGGGAGCATTTTGGGAGCTGTGTGGTTGGCACAGCCCTTAGCTGATGGGCAGAAGCATCTGCATAGTGGGGTAATTGCTCTGCTTCCCAGCATAGGTTTATTTTTAAAAAATAAACAGTCCTCCATTGTCTGTGTGCCTGCCCAGGCCCACAGGTGACCTTGCAATGAACAAATGCCACTGGGCTCTACGTGTGATGTGCTGAAGTTCCAGCCTCCTCCTCCTGGTAACAGTGCAGTGCACTGCAAACAGTTCATTGTATAGCAGGGTTTCAATCAAATTAATAAACAAAACAAAACCCATCCTTTCAAAACCAGCGTTTCTGACATTAGAGAGATGTGTTTAAACAACACCAGAGCCTCAAGCTGCAAGCAGAATTTTATTAATTCCAATGG